GATGTTTCTGAGCTTTACTTTGATGTGAGGCAGCTGTTGAGGGGCTATCAAGGTACGTGAGGGCGTTCTCCAGGTATGAAACACATACATGGTCATTCCATCCCCCACCAATCCGTGGGACCGATGGCATCATTCCTACTTCTATGTCACAAAGCGAGGCTCATGGGGTGACCTGCCTGGGCACACACAGCTGGTCAGAAACAATGCTCAGATATGATCACTGGCTGGTTTTATTCCATATTAACTGTGCTCTTGCATGTCTTTTACTTTTCCTTTCAGTCAACGTGACTCTGGATCCAGAGACAGCTCATCGGGAACTAATCCTGTCTGAGGATCAGAGACATGTCACTAAGGGAAGACCCCAGCGTGATGTGCACAATTCTCCCAGGAGATTTACCGCCTACCCCTGTGTCCTGGGCCACGAGGGCTTTGCGTCGGGACGACATTACTTTGAAGTGTATGTGGGAGAAGGGATTCAGTGGGATTTAGGAGTTTGTATGGAAAATGTGCAGAAGGACACTCGCATGAAGCTGAACCCCCAGTCTGGATTCTGGGCCATCAGTTTGAGCAACAATGGCAGCTACACAGCGCTGACATATCCCCCTATCCCCCTTCCCATGCGGGAGAAGCCCCTGCTTGTGGGGGTTTTCCTGGACTATGAGGCAGGAGCTGTCTCCTTTTACAACATGACCACGGCCTCCCACATCTTCACCTTTCCCAGGGCCTCCTTCTCCAGGAAGCTGCGGCCCTATTTCCGGGTTTATCCCTCTTCTCCTCTGTCCCTGCCTCCCCCAGATGAGTAAAGAAAGGTGCAGTCTCCTTCTTGGCTTCACCAGCATCAATAAAATAATATAAATCCTGTGTGGCAGAATTTAGCCTGTTTTCTTCCCGCAATTTCTTGTACCTAGAACAGTGTGGGGGGACCCTCTAGCAGGTTCCTAATAATCTGCATTGAATGAATAGGTGAAAGGACTGTGACAACAACAGAGCTGGTCAGTCAGGAGGGAAGCAAGATAATAGCAGGGACCAGACCTTGTCCTCTCCATCCCCCTTCCATGGGGTCACAGCTCTGATTTCTGAGCATCCTTGGGTGACCAGTAGGGTGACCAGCAGGTCTGACTCCTCCCAGTGTGTTTCATGCCATTTGATCTCATGTGGGAATGAGGGAAAGCTGCAAGTCTCGGCCCACGGCAGGAAATCCATAGAGCAGTGACTCCTGTGCACACTGATGTTTGGTGAACAGCCTGAGCCACGGTTCTGGGTGGAGGTGAGTGCAGAGGCTGTCAGACCTGGCAGAAACCAAGCCAAGTGTGAGAGAAGGCTGAGAATGGGCTTAGAGTGAGATGCTGCAAAGGGGGAGGAGATGAAGGAGGTCATAACGAAGTTTGCTGAGGGACACAGTCCTGGAATAGAAGCTGATGTTCTCCAGACTGTTCTAGGACCACTGTCTTGAAATATTTCTAATCTCAGTCAATAGTTACTGCTGTCATACTTGTTGGCCTGTAGATTATGATTCAGATATGAACCAATAGGCCTTAACTATATGTGGGTTGACGTGGAAAGGTACATTCCATGGCACACCTAAATCATCAGACCTTAGTTGGCTAATGACACGATGAAGTCACCAAAACATGCACAACATTAATGATGACTAAACGAGTCGCAAAATCACTAAACATTATGATAGTTTCTGGTTGATATAAAACACTATTTTCATCGATGTTGCAGTTCTCTCACTTCCTTTCTCTAGAAATGGTAAATGAAGCAAGCAAGTTGTCTGTGGGTATCAGAGCCATAGTGGGGCCTCCACCTCCATCAGAGGAAGAAATGGCAGACGTCAGGCTGTCACCCTCTCTCCCCAGTGGCATAATGTCTCCTAGCCACACTGAGAGAAGCCGGGTGTAACTCAAAAGTGAAGAGCAGCAGAATACACCACCCCTCATATGTCACTTGAGCATAAGCTCTATATTGAGCCGAAGGCAGTTGAGAAAATACAGAAACAAGAAAACCTCTTTATCCTCTTCTATTACCTAAAAACAGGATATAAAGTTGTAAAAAGGTCCCCCCTTTTCTCTATACCAGGAAAGACAAAAGTGAATTGCCAGAGACAATGCTACACCATTATCAACCCAGACAGAGCACCCGAGGAACCTACAGAAAAAACCTTGTGAAAACCAGCCCTTATTTTCTATTACTTTCTTCATATGAGTCTTCACACATTTGCAGCCTAGGAAGTCACTTTCCTTTGTCTTGTCATTTCTCTAAAAATCCTGTTCTTTGGTTAAGATGCTGTATAAGCCCAAGTCCCACCCTCTGCTCTGGGGGGCTCATGTCAGAGTATTTCCACCTGTATACAGGTGCACAGGTAGCTAGGAAAAGCTGCCTGTTTCTCCTCAGCTCTCACTGTGACCACACTCACAGCACTCCACTTCTGACACCACAGATGAAGGTATTTTTTCCACACCAATTCAGGAGTCCTACAATTCAATTCTAATACTAATTGGAGTGAGACAGAATCCATAGGTTAAGGGCTCAGTCCCACAAGACTGTCCCTGCCCACCCCCACCTCAGACACCAGTCACGAGTCCAGGTTGTCTCTCTGATTTGACTGAACAGCTATAAATTGGAGGTTCCCATGACCCCATCTTAGGTTTCAATCATTTGCCAGCACAGCTCACAATACTCAGGGAAATACTTTGTTTACTTGTTTATTAGTAGTAAAGGATATGGCAAAGGAGACCAGTGAATGTCCAGATGAAAAGACATAGAAAACAAGGTCAGAAGGTCCCCCAGCACCAGAGCTGTCCCTGTGGAGTTGGGAGGTGGCCGCCTCCAGGCACATGGATGTGTTCACCTTCCCAGAAGCTCTTTAAAGCCTGTGCTTTTGGATTTTTAGGGAGGCCTCATCATGTAGGCATGATTAATCATTAAGTTAATCCCCGGGTCCACATTTCTCTTTGTGAGATGGGGAGTAGAGCTGAACGTTCCAAGATTCTAATCATGGCTGGGAATTCCTGGTGACCAGCCCACCTGAATCCACACAGGCGCCCACTCAGAGTGGCCTCATTAGAATAAAAGATGTGCCTATCACCCAGGAAATTGCAAGGGATTTAGAAAATCCATATCAGGAACCAGAGTGGAAGAGCAAATATTAAAACAAAACATGCCTCTTTTAACACTTTTATCACATAGAAAATTACAAGGGTTTCA